CTCCTCCCCACCACCACCCGAAGAAGGTGATGTCGGTGATGGGCTCCTGCGAGCGGGGGGCTTCCAGCCTGGGCAGCCCCCCGTTACCCGCCGGCTGCTTCACCCAGGTCTACACGCCGGCGGCTGTCAGCGTCCCGGCTCCCTGGGGGGGGTGTCTCCATGCCACCCCCCAGGGCCCCCAACTCAGGACCCTCCACTCGGCCTCGGTGGGACGGCTGCCGGTAAGGTGTCTGCACCCCATCCCCTCGTCGGGCATCGCTTCGGTGGGACGGGGGTCTGGGGGGGGCTCCGTGCGGGGTGGGGTGACCCCAGGGTGTACAGCACCCTCCCCATCCCCATTTCGCAGCTTATATTGGGGTCTGTACCCCACTGGGATGGTTTTTTTGGGGGTGGGGGAGGGTAAGGTTTGAAATCAGAAGTCTCAGTGAGATGGCTTATGTGTTTCTCAACTTCCCTTTGCCCCTGCGTGCCCATAAAGCTGGCTCCCGGCTTCCGCTTTTCAGCCTTTTTCGGCCTTTTTGTCTCCTCTCTCTGGTTTTCAAACAGTTCGGGTTGTGCCTTAAAGCCCGGCCGCGGAGCTGAGGCCCTTTGCAAACCTCCGTCCCCGTTACGGAAGCGAGGGCAGGGTGCAGGCAGCGCTCCTGCCTGCTGCGGGGGGGGGCACCGTCCCTGCCCTCTGGCTCTGTGACCCCCGGGGTGACCCGGGGATGTGGGGGGACGTGGGGCCAGGGTGGTTCAGTGTTGCTGCCCAAGCTTGGTTCCTGCCTGTGGTTACAGCAGGGCTTGTAGTGCCCTTTTTTTTTTTAAATTTATTTATTTTTTTTTAATTTTGGGTGGGGTGGGGTGTTATGAATTGAAGCAATCCCCATCCTCCGTGGGACACCCCAAAGCTTTGCAGCAGGGACCCCGATGTGTGCTGGCACGGGGAGGGGGCTGCTGGCCCTGCCTGTGTCCCTGTCACCGAACAAAGCGCAAAGCCCAGCGCTGCCCCTAAACGGGGAAACTGAGGCCCAGGTCGGGTGCTGTCCCCGTGCCCAGCATCGGGGTGCACGGGCGGCTCTGCCCAGTCCATCTCCCCTCCCGGAGAGCCCCCGCCGAGCCCCCGGCCGGTCGGCCCCGCTGGCAGCTGGCATTTAATTCCCGCCTGCCCCAGCCCGGGCGTGCGTCCAGCCCTCACTGTGAGCCTCTGTTCTCCCCGGGTCCTGGGAGGGATCCCAGACCCCGCTAACTTAGATTTAATTTTTTCAAGGCTTGATTGATTTATTTATTCATTCCTCCCTCCCCCCTTTCCTTGGTCCCTGATGCTCAGTGCCAGCTGGGGACATCGCTGTGGCTGGGGGAGAGGGGGTGTCTTTGCTCCCCGCTTTGTGCCATGGCTGCGGGGCTGGTTGATGCCATTGCGAGTCCCGTCCCGGGGGGGTCTGGGACCACCTGTCTCCTCCTTGGCCTCTTTGTCTCCAAACTGCGTGAAACGCTGTATCCTGCACTGCCGGGGGCTGTTGTTTAAGGAGACACCCACACCGCTACCCCCTTCCCTAAAAACACCCCACAGATTTACAGTCCCATTTCCATGCATCACCGTGGAGCTGGTTTGGGGCTAATGGTCTCTTTGGCATCATCATCATCACCCATGGCAGGAGATGCTCCTGCCCACAACTGACCCCTGAACGGGATTGGGGGGGGCTTGTGTGACGCTTGGGGACATAAAGTGTTCCTGCATCCCCCTTGGTGGCTTGCAAGTGACATTCCCATCTGTCCCCATCCCATTCCCTAACGCCATGATCCCGTTCCCGGCGCTGGAGATTCCATTTCCAACCCCTGGTGACACTCACAGCTCTGGCAACTGGGGCTCCCCCCTCCCCTCCACCCTATTTATGGTCACAACCTTTGTGTGCAGATCCAGGGCAATCAGATAATGAATATTTCCTCCCAATTCCTGAGCAGGGCAATTGTGGCCGCTCCCACCTGCTTGCTGGATTTGTGCCATATAAATGATCTGGCATCACCTGGTCCAGCTGGAGGGAGCCCATCACCCTGCGTCTGGCTGCAGGAAAGTGGGATGTGTTGTCTCATGGTCCGGAAAAGTCTCACATTTCCCTTAGCCTTTGATTTGAGGGTCCTGGGGTAGGTAAATGCATTTTCTCCCATGAATAAATGTGTATTTTTGAGTGGTTTTAGCCTGTGCCAATCCCATCCTGAGTATTTGCCCTGCTCCTGGTCTTACGAGGTGTCTGTAAGGGCCATGGGATCTCTGTAGGTGCTCAGAGGTGTGAAGGAGCCCTGGAGAGAGCGACGTGTCCACTGTGGGCTCCCGGCTCTCCCTCCCTCCTCCGTGCCGGGACAAGGATGTTCCGAGTCTGCCGGGGTTTTGGTGTGAGCTGTCAGGGCTGAGCCGCCCTTGCAAAGAGCACCCAGGGTGGCAGCCCCTGTGGGTGCTGGGCTGGAGAACCACTCAGCAGCATCCTGAATTCTGCTGGGGTGACCCTGGGTGACCCCATCTCACTCTCGATCCCTTCAAGGGTTTTTCTGTGTGGGCAGAAGGGAGGAGTTTTGGGGGTGCAGGAAGCTGGGAGGGGTTGGGGTGGGTGGGAAGGTGGTGGCTGTCCTGTCACCCTCAGAGGGGCTTTTCCTGGCTCTTTTACACCCTCCAGCTCCTCTCTGTCAGGAAATGTCTCCAGCCAGGCCTTCCCCCTCCATCCGTGCTGGGATGGGGCTGTTGGAGGGGATGGAGGTGCTGGCTGCATCTTGGCATGGGCAGTGGTACCCGGGGTGGGGGGTCCTCCCCAGTGCAGGGTGCTCCCCTACCCCAGGACCAGGGCTGGGGTCAGCCTCCCTCCCCTGCACACGCTGGGGCTAAGAAACCCCTGATCCCCCAAACCTGGGGGTTCTGCATCCTCTTGTCCCCCCCTCCATGCCCCAGTAGCCCTCAGCCATCCCAAAGGCGGGGGGAGCTGCACCGGGGGGGCCTGATCCAGCAGCCCCTTGGCATGAGCAGTATCCCCAGTGTGGTGGCATGATCCTGGGGTGCCCTGTGGTCCCCCACCAGCTCTGGGTGCCCATCCCCGGGCGGTGTGTTCCCACGCCCCGGGGGGGGCCAGAAGGGCTGGGCAAGGCCCGGGCAAGCCTGGAGAAGGCAGCGGGTGCTGTTGAAAGGAAGCGTTGGCAGGAGGAGCCTGCCGCGGCCCCCCCGGGGGAGAGGGCTGCTCTGATGCTTGGGCTGGGCGCAGGGTGTAGCCCCTGGCGCCAGGGCTGGGCCGAGGGCTGCTTGGCAGGCAGAGCTGGCAGGGGGCCCGGCCTGCCCCCCCCCTCACTGCCTTACCCCCCACCAGCAGGCTCCTGCCCTTGCCCGGGGAAGGGTCGAGCCTCTTTTCCCACCCTTACCATCACATCGGGGTGTCGCTGGTGTGTCCCCATGTCGTGGGAAGCAGTGGCTGGGGGTGGGCGAATGTCGTGGGGGGGTCCCGCTGTGCTCTAGAGGGGGTCTTGGGGTTTGGTCCCTGCCCCCCCATCTGTTCTGGTTCATCCCAACCCCTCCAGCCCTGGCAGGGTGCTGGGAGCCCCCTCGCCATGCACTGCTCAGCTGCTGTGTGTCTAATCCTGCCCGCCTGGGGGGGCTGGCAGCTGAGACACAGGAGGGAACCCCTTGTCCATTGTCCCTTGCTGGTGTGTCCCAGCACTGCAGGGTCTTGTCCCTGCCCAAGCCCACCGAGTTTGCCCCAGACTGCATGTGGGGGAGCAGGGGCTCCCCCTTTCTCCCCTCCTGTGCATGGGGAAATGGGGAAGGGAAACCACCTTGGTGACTGTCGGCTCTGGTGGGGGGGTGGTGTCAGAAGTGTCCGGCGACCCCAGGACTTGCCGTGGGTTGCTTCTGTGCCTCAGTTTCCCCATTGCTTGGGCAGATGGGGTGCAGCTGACACACACACACACTCCCCCTCCCCATCAGCGGGTGGCCACAGCCATCGGTGTCCGGAGGAGCAAAGGGTTTGGGTGCCAGGAGAATGCCCCCCGCCTCGTCCCAAATCGTGCTGGCAGATGCGTGGGGTCTGATCCGGGGCAGGTGTTTCCCACGCGCTCGGCATTAACCGTTGGGGTGCCGGCAGCTCGGGGGCAGATCCGGGGGCGCGGGGGCCAGGGATGGAGGCGTGTTCGCTGGGGAAAACCTGCTCGGGAGAAGGGAGGGAGGGAACAGATTCCCACAGGAGCTCGGGACCAACCTGGCTCCCTGGGGGGGCGGAAAACAGCCCCCGGCACCTCTCCCACCGGCCCCCTCGGGTGGGAACAGAGCCAAGGTGCCCAACCCTTCCCCACAAAGTGGGGTGTGCTCCCCTGGGAGCCACGGTCAGAGCCACGCTGAGCCGGCACCGGGACCTGGGCGCCATGCGGGACGTGCT